AAATGAACTTAAATCACATTGTAAACAGGCATAGAACACCAATTAGCCACTTGTATGCAGTTTATACACCAGGCGAGAGCACTAATCAGAATTATTCATGAAATTTAGCGGTAAAGAGTATGGAAAATATAATGTATGTTATGTATTCAGCAGACACTGTGTAATGTAAGAACAAAATCAACCAGCTGGTAAGTTTACTGCCTACGTCCAGCAATTTACCAAAAATGTACAGTGTAATTATTTTACACATTCGGTAGAATTGACTACACGCGGTAGAATTGACTACACATGGTAGAAAATTGCGACGTGTTCATGCATGTAAAATCAGGTCACGGGTTTCGTGTAAATTAGGGTCCTCATCTGGCTACGTTTCAACTTTCCGAGTCGGCATGGCAACTGTTTACAAAGCAAAATCACAAGAGAAGAGAACGCACACTCATTCAATCAGTTTAATTCAGTACTCCAAGGGGTGAGATGTACAAGAAATATCAGCCTTTTGTGAAATCAATATTGACCAAAGGACAGAGAAATCCACCATTACGGTAACGATGACAACATGTCGGATGACAATTCTGGTGGGGCGGGGGCATAAGATGGCTTCAGAATTTCTGGTTATTTTTTCGTTAAAGGACAAGCAGTATGACTTGTCATTTCGCACTTACCAGAGTCAGTTTGAACGTGTGTTTAGCTTTTTCTTCTTTGCCTGGCCATAGATAACCTGGACAAAAAAAACAAGAAAATAGTCACTTCAGTTACATGTAGTTTACAGGATAGACACACACACACACACACACACACAAGTGTACCCCCCCCCCCCACACACACACAAGTGTACCCCCCCCCCCCCCCCCCACACACACACAAGTGTACCCCCCCCCCCCCACACACACAGGTGTACCCCCCACACACACACGTGTACCACCCCCCCCCCACCACACACCACGTGTACCCCCCCCCCCCCACACACACGTGTACCCCCCACACACACACACGTGTACCCCCCCCACACACACACGTGTACCCCCCCCCCACACACACGTGTACCCCCCCCCCCCCCACACACACACGTGTACCCCCCCCCCCACACACACACGTGTACCCTCCCCACACACACACGTGTACCCCCCCCCCACACACACACACGTGTACCCCCCCCCACACACACACGTGTACCCTCCCCCCCCCCCCCCCCACACACACACGTGTACCCCCCCCACACACACACACGTGTACCCCCCCCACACACACACACGTGTACCCCCCCCCCCCACACACACACACGTGCACATCCCCCCCCCCCCACACACACACGTGCACATCCCCACACACACACACACGTGCACCTCCCCCCACACACACACGTGCACATCCCCCCCCCCACACACACGTGCACCCCCTCCCCCCCCCCCCCCCCCACACACACAAGTGCACTCCCCCCCCCCCCCTACACACACACACGTGCACCCCCCCCCCCCACACACACACGTGCACCACCCCCCCCCCCCCCCCCCACACACCCACAAACACACACGTGCACCCCTCCCCCCCCCCCCCACACACACACGTGCATTCCCCCCACACACACCTGCACCCCCCCCCCCCACCCACACGTGTGCCCCACCCACACACACACACGTGCACCCCATCCCCGCCCCCCACACACACACGTGCACCCCCCCCCCCCACACACACACGTGCACATCCCCACAAACACACACACGTGCACCCCCCCCCCCCCCCCACACGTGTGCCCCACCCCCCCCCCACACACACGTGCACCCCCCCCCCCCCCCCCCACCCACACACACACACGTGCACCCCCCCCCCACACACACGTGCACATCCCCACACACACACACACGTGCACCCCCTCCCCCCCCCCCCCACACACACAAGTGCACTCCCCCCCCCCCCCTACACACACACACGTGCACCCCCCCCCCCCCACACACACACGTGCACCACCCCTCCCCCCCCCACACCCACAAACACACACGTGCACCCCTCCCCCCCCCACACACACACGTGCATTCCCCCCACACACACGTGCACCCCCCCCCACCCACCACGTGTGCCCCACCCACACACACACACTTGCACCCCATCCCCGCCCCACACACACAAGTGCACTCCCCCCCCCCACACACACGTGCACCTCCCCCCCCCCTACACACACACACATGCACCTTTCCCCCCACACACACGTGCACCACCCCCCCCCCCTCCCCCCCCACACCCACAAACACACACGTGCACCCCTCCCCCCCCCCCCCACACACACGTGCACCCCCCCCCCCCCAACACACACACACGTGCCCCCCCCCCCCACGAACGTGCACCCCCCCCCCCACCACACACACACGTGCACCCTTCCCCCCCCCCCCCACACACTTGCACCCCTCCCCCACGTCTCCCCCCCACACACTTGCATCCCCCCTTGCCACCCCCCCCCCTCCACACACGCACATGCCCCCCCCCACACACACACGTCCACCCCCTCACACACACACTTTTGCACCCCCACCCCCCCCCCCCTACGTCACACACATACGTGCCCCCCCCCCACACACACATACATGTACACATGTGCACCCCCCCCCCCCACACACACACACTTGCACCCCCTCCCCCCCCTCCCCCCCACACACACGCCCCCTCCACCCCCACACGTCCACCACCCCCACGCATGCACCCCCCTCCCTCACACACACACAAACACACACACACACACACACACACACACACACGTACACCCCCCCCCACACACACACACATACATGTACATGTATGCACATCCTCACAGCTCTTGCCCCCCCTGCCCCTACACATCCACACAGCCCCCCACCCCCTACAACCACCACAGCCTCCCCCCCCCCTGCCCCTACACATCCTCACACCCCCTCCCCGGCCCCTAGACATCCTCACATCACCCCTCCCTCCCCTGTCCCTACACATTCTCACAGCCCCCCCCCCCTTCCCAAGCCCCTACACATCCTCACAGCCCCTGCCCTATGCATTATCACAGCTCCCCCCCCTCCAATCTGCCCCTACTCATTCTCACAGCCCCCCCCCCCCAATCTGCCCCTCCACATCCTCACAGCCCCCCCCCCCGCCCCTCCACATCTTCACAGCCCCCCCCCCCTCCTCTGCCCCTACACATCCTCACTCCCCTGCCCCTCCACATCCTCACAGCCCCCCACCCTCCCCCCTGCTAGGCCTTGGCGGATAATGCCGGCAGAAAATTGGCAGAATTCGGTACTTTTTCTGGTAAGTTTCATGCATGTTTGGTATGTGGATAAAGAAATGGAGCAGAATTCGAGAAATTGCCCGCCATAAGGTTTGTATGGTTCTGCCAATTTCGGTGCAAAAAAAGCAGAATCTGCCACCTTTTCGAGCATTATCCGCCAAGGCCTACTCCCTGCCCCTCCACATCCTCACAGCCCCCCCCCCCCTCCCCTGCCCCTACACATCCTCACAGCCCCCCCCCCCCCACAAATGTGCCCCTACACATCCTCACAGCCCCCTCCCCTGCCCCTATACATCCTCACAGCCCCCCCCCCCCCCAATGTGCCCCTACACATCCTCACACCCCCTCCCGGCCCCTACACATCCTCACATCACCCCTACCTCCCCTGCCCCTACACATTCTCACAGCCCCCCCCCCCCTCCCAAGCCCCTACACATCCTCACAGCCCCTGCCCTTGCATTATCACAGCTCCCCCCCCCCCCAATCTGCCCCTACACATTCTCACAGCCCCCCCCCCCCCAATCTGCCCATACACATCCTCACAGCCCCCCCCCCCCCCCGCCCCTCCACATCTTCACAGCCCCCCCCCTCCTCTGCCCCTACACATCCTCACTCCCCTGCCCCTCCACATCCTCACAGCCCCCCCCCCCTGCTAGGCCTTGGCGGATAATGCCGGCAGAAAATTGGCAGAATTCGGTACTTTTTCTGGTAAGTTTCATGCATGTTTGGTATGTGGATAAAGAAATGGAGCAGAATTCGAGGAATGGCCCGCCATAATGTTTGTATGGTTCTGCCAATTTCGGTGCAAAAAAAGCAGAATCTGCCACCTTTTCGAGCATTATCCGCCAAGGCCTACTCCACATCCTCACAGCCCCCCCCCCCCCAAATGTGCCCCTACACATCCTCACAGCCCCCTCCCCTGCCCTATACATCCCCACAGCCCCCCCCCCCCCAATGTTCCCTACAACATTTCCCTCACAGTGCCCAGTTCTCCCCACAGAATCTCAATCTCTCTAATTTACTGGTATATATATATACACTGGTAAAGAGTTGTTTGCGTGACAATATCACACAAATAATAGTTTAGCAGTGCTGGCTAAATTCCGTACTTTCCCGTAATTGTACTGAAAATAACTCCTACATCCGCAATACAGAATTTGAGCAAAGGTAGGGAAAAATTACAAAGACTTATCAGCTAAGCTGATCCTAGAGGGTGGTGGCGTTCCTACGGAAACGGAAAACTCAGCCTGCAGCTGAGTCTCACGTGAACCGTGAATTTGTTTCCGTAACCATGTAGTAGTAGCATGGCAAGCACAAGCTGAGTAATGAATATCCTTGCAAAGTGAGTGCTTGCCATGTTACGACTTCAGATATCACAAAACATTCTGTCCTGGGTACAAGTCACATCTATCTTTCAGTACAAATTCAGGGAGCGACGTGCATGTGTGTGTCAAAACCGACAACACACGTCAGTACACGTTAGCACGCAAAACACTGACAAGTACAGAAAATCAAAAATCCCGAGTACGCGAAACAGACCCAGCTGATTGGCATTTCTGGTTTCATGCCAGTCAGTGATTCAGCCATACTCCACCATTACACACTCCACACGCTACATACATAATTTACTCACTCATGAACTACAAAATAACCACATACCTTTTCAGCTTCATGTTGTATGAGAAGCTGCACACATTCATCATGACCATGTAGCTTTGCTAGCCCCAATGCTGTGAGACCACTCTGAGTAGCACAACAACACATCAAAAGCAAAACAACAACAGATATACTCATTCAAAAAACGAAGAAATTTACAATCTCACGAAAATGAACCATGCAGCACAACAAGCACATTATCGACGATGACTAGCCAATGACCTCTTGAAATAACTCACATGACAAACAACATCTTCCTCATTGACATCCCTGTCCTAGAACTGTATCCAAGCACTTCCATTCGTTTCACTCTTCGAAAATTTTCAAAAAATGTAAAAGGAAACTATGAGGAGAAGGGAAAGACATGATCATCACAGCTCTTCGTCAGGAACAACTGCATGTCTTCCTTGTACTCGTTACAATAACAACAACTCATCACTCCTTACTCGTTCTAACAAACACAATCAAACACTCTGTCCATTCAGAGAAAGAAAGAGAGAGAGAGAGTGTGTGTGTGAGAGAGAGAGTGTGAGAGAGAGAGAAAGAGAGAAAGAGAAAGAGAGTGAGAGAGAGAGAGAGTGAGAGAGAGAGAGACAGAGAGAGAGAGAGAAAGAGAGAGAGAGAGAGAGAGAGAGAGAGAGAGAGAGAGAGAGAGACAAGACAGGTGAGAAGGACGAGTAGTTACTGTTCACTTCACAACAGCACACAATCAAATACTTACAATGTCAAGCAGTGCAGTATCCAAGGTGACACCATCACTGTCATGTGACAGTATCACCTTGACAACATTGATCTTGTTCCCGAGGACTGCATAGTGCAGTGGAGTATATTGTACCTGTAGAAAAAAGAGAGAATGTGATGAGTATTGCTATACAACCATTACACTAACTACTACAACCACACACCGACACAGACCTGGACAACTAGAACAAACACAACAATGCACGTGCACACATGAACACACATACAGGACCACAGGCACATGAACAAACATGAAGAATTACAAGTCATTGTGTGCACATGTGAGTACACACCCATGGACACACACACACACACACACACACACACACACACACACACATACACACACACACACACACACACACACACAGGCACACAGAAACACATTAAATCAACACTATACTTACTCCTAGTGTGTAGGAGCATATGCATATACGACTAGGTGGTGTCCATCTAACTTTCTCTGCTCCAGTACTTTGCAGGAGATGAAGGACGTTGAACACCAACGCCCATATCTCATACATCGCTCGTCCTTTGTCAGAAACTGCATCAGCAAATTTCTTCACAGTTTCTTCAAGATCTGTACCGTACAAACAGACACCACATACGAATGATATTTTCACCTCTTCACTTTTGTTGGCACATGCACAGACACACGTCATGACGTCATAGAGACGTCCCTTATTTGGACAGTGGCAAGTAATGACATTTGTCGCCACAGAGTACAGCGTGGTACAGGTATCCTAGCAACCATCATTCACAAACAAACGTTACAATAACCGTACATACAGCTATATATGGTTGTCAGTGACTGTAGCTGAAAGAGGTGAAGACGATCAATGAACGACATCACGGGGCGTCTTCACAACACACTGCAACACATGCAATTAACGTTCTTGAACAAAATTACAGAAACGACCGACAAATGTTACACCTCATTGCTACCACTGCCTACTACAACTTTCGGCGAATGAAAACTACTCCACAACTCAACAAACAACCAATTTAGGTCACTGAATGGCCGTCACTTTGTGACACGAGACTAGGACAGAGACGAAGGTTCACGACAAACGGCATTCAAAAACAAAGGAGATGAACGACGGCAAAGCGTAGGTATTGGGAAGAAACCTGTTTTTACTCACAGTCTATGATGGTCCCCTTCCGTCTCGCTTCCATTGATCACAAGAAACACTACGAACTACTCCCACTCGACTAACTGAATTGCTGGAAATATTTCAATTGAAACTTTACACGACGAGGAAGGGCACTGCTGAAGTAAAACATCAACATACAAATACTCTAGTCCAGTACCTATGGCTGAGTTTCAAAACCTCCTCCCTGATGTTCCTTGGACATGAACAAGACTACTAATGAACTGCAAGGAACGGACGAAAGTCTTGACGAACAACCAGAAAGTATTCAGCAGCGCGACGGGAAAATGTGAGGGATCAACTGACTGAACCTTTGAACTCTGACCTCTAGTTTGCTAGCGCTCTGTTGATGTATGGAACATTACAGAAAGCAGTAGACTGTTCATAGTCTGATACAAAATGTATTACTGTGGATGACTGTAATCGGTACTGACTCTTTCTAGTGCAGTGTTCGCTAGCTACACAGCCTAGCCTACGTAGATCTACCTACACACGTGTAATTGTTACGTCATAGATAAACATTACTTTGATACAACATACACCAAGGACTCTACTTGTAGCGAAGTCTCAGACATCAGCAGGGCCTGCTCTAGAAATTCAACACAGCCCGGTCAGAGTGTACCTGGCGCATGCAGGCCAGCCGGGTCAAGCCGGGTCAGATCATCCAGCAGAGAAACAACCAAAAAGCCTGCTCAAAACGCAGGAAAACTGAAAGGCGAATTTATTACCGGAAATCGGAAATTTTAGAGAACAAGGCGAACTATAGACTGGCATGGTCGTAGTCCAGCCAGGGTCGACCTTTCTTCCAAGATTCTTGGAAAGCGTGAGTTCTTTTTCTCTTCGCTGCGGGCTCCATCGTCCAAATCACCAGTCGGCTGAAAACTTGCAACTGTGTCAAAAGCTATAGCCAAAGTTACGCTTTTGACTGCCTGCGCTGCCCCATCGACTTTGAATGTCCCGACTACCTGCTTATGGTGTTTTACGTCAACCATGACGGCTACAATGGCCAACCAGACCACAACGAAGTTGGGGCCAAAGAGAGAGTTTATTTCTTTCACGTGAAAATATATACAGGGGCCATTTTTACGAAAAATGATTTATGTATACAAAAATGCATGTACGGGTACGAAGTCACTACATGCTCGCCGCTGGCCAGATCGCGCTCGAACCAGTTGACCCCAGTTGACCCTAGCCGAGTTTCTGTCGCTTGTAGACTGTAGTGTACGTGTGTACGGTTGCGCTAGATTTGCAACAGATGGGGTCCGCGAGTTGTAAAATACCGGTATTTTAGGAATCCATTGTCAGTTTGAGACATTATTCAGCCGGGTCAGACTGGACCCGGTGTTGTCTGTTCAGCCAGGTCGTGCAGTTCCCCAGCCGGGTGACCCGGCTCTCCAGCAGGCCCTGATCAGAGTCTATGCTGCGTGGCATCTGTCTCTGTATCTGTGCATAGCACTGGTGAGTAGATATACTGGGGACTAGACCAGAGACACCACAGTCCACACAACACTCTACAGACCCCAAACAAAGTGCAATTTTGGAATCAACTAAGTGATCAGTACAGTGGCCTATGCAATGCACGGCACGTCGAGATCACGACATGATCTGCTGACCCCAAACACGGTCATACTGTGATCAACCAAGCCATGTGCAAGGGCACAGAAATCTCCACTGCCCAAACCAGTGGAATACAAATGCGACTATGTACCTGGTCTACATGTGGCATACAGTAGGGAAACTCACATTCATTCATACTCTGCTACGTGATCCACAATAGCTGACCTACTTTCTTGGTTTCATGCTACTAGTAGTGCGACCACCACCCACTGCGTTACATCATGCTACACTGTAGTATGTTCTGGTGGGCCTAAACTGAATCCTATGCCAGAGCACTTCTATCGCCAAAACAGTCTGACAACCTCACAATTCACTCCGTATTATTGGATACGACAGCGTTGCTCAAAGAAATCTATTCCCCTCACTCGAGTACGCGCCGGACTTTCCGTAGCCCTAGACCTGCTAACACTGGGCTGGGAAAGAATGCAAGGTGCAAACTTGAGTGACGCGACTGGATTTCATTGGGCAGCACTGTACGTGGAGTACTAGATACTTTTGACGTGGCATTCTCGTGAATTCTCTATAAGCAAGTTAGAGATATCTACCGTGCACATTTCACATGCCTACTAGTGTGTGTTCAGACAACATCCAGTAGACTGTGGGAGAGAGAAAGAGCCACACGTCCATTCAGATAAGAAGTGATCTTTTCAACGAACTCAATGTCACCCACCACACACACGCACACACATACACACACACACACACACACACACACACACACATGACATACGCGTACACGCCGGCACGCGTACTTACCTCGATGCGTTTTTGGAGCAGGAGCTGATAGGGTAGTTTGAGCGGCAGCGGCAGCGGCAGGTTGGGTTTGTGTGGCGTCGGTAGCACTAGCTACTCGTGTCATTTCGCGTCCGTCAGAGGACACCACAACATCATTTGAATGCAATGAGGAATGAAATCTGTACGAAGGCATCTTGGCGCAAGTCTTTAGTCTTAGGAAAAGCAAAGAATCAGTAGACAGCATGGATTGTACTACAGTGAATCTCAGAGAGACAGTGGAGGAACGACAGCATCTAATGTATGTGATTGAACAAGCGCAGCGTCTCCGGGGCACTTTATTCCACGCATGCGCCTAGTAGTCGCTCTAACGTGGCATAAGCATTCAGCTTAGACACTGCAACGGGTTGGTTGCTAGGAGGTACGTTGTGGATTGGTTGAATTTGAATAGGTTCGTTCTTTGGATTGTCTTTGACAACACGGTGTTGTGACAGGCTTGTGGCTGTGCAGACAATGAATGGCTTGTAAGACTAGCCGGAGTAGACTCTCTGAGTAGAGCAGAGACCTGACCAATCACATGATCTAAACATGTTGACATACAAACTGTGCGAAGCCCATCCAGTCTCCGATTATCCTGGCACGTTATTCAAGGATCTTCCATCCCGCGCTGTGTCTGTGGTGACACCAAGAATCTACATGCATAATCCTTGGAGAGTGCACCACAGTACTTGAGACGGGTTGGCAACGGGATTGCACTATACACAATCATTATTAATTCAACATTATTAACATTATTAATTCAACATCTCCTGGCTCGTCAGAAGACTGCCAATATATATGAGAAGTCGGGTGGTAGCCAACCACGGCGAACTGAATAATAAGGAGAGAAAAAAGGGAGTACTGCAAGGGGAGGCATGACGAAAATGGTGAGATTAAATTTTAGGACGAAGAAGCTCAAGCTTGAACTCCTTAATGTCTGGGGATGCTTTAAGGCTAGTTGGCAGGGAAGACCAGAGAGTGTACGCAGAGAAGATAGGAGATTTCAGAAACAGGGAGGTATTAGCACGGGGTAATGAGAAGGAATGACGTGTTGATCTGGTGGACACAAACCAGTTATACTTAGCAAAGTGTTTTGGAGCCAGGTCTAATAAGATCATGTGTACACGGATGCAAAGATGTTGCTGGTGTCGCTCTAAGAGGGGAGATACTGAAGCTAAACTGTAGAGACGTTGGGAGGAGAATGTTTAATTTTTGCGAAACAGGATTTTTAGAAGCAGACGCTGGTGTATTTCCAGAGTTTGAACAAGGGCCTGAGACAGACCGCACCACGCTGTGTCACAGTAATCAAATATAGGTAGAATATACGAGGTAAAGAACAATTTTCGGCAATGGTCATTTAAATGGTGGCAGTGAGGTTGCAACATGCTAAGGGAGGAGCTAGCTCGCTTGCATACTGACTGGACCTGTGGGGACCAGGACATATGGCTGTCGAATATAACACCAAGGTGTTTGTGTTCATGAACAATTTTAACGTTAGCATTGGCTCCTGGAAAGTGCAACGGCTGAGTAGGCGGCGATGGGCTGATGAACATTGCTTCGGTCTTCGCGATGTTGGGCCTCAGCTTCCAAGCTTCCATCCATGCTATGGTGGAGTTAATGCCGATCTGCATGGAGGTAACGAGGTTGGACGGCGAGCTGTCAGAGCACAACAGTGCAGTATCATCAGCAAAAAGGCTGACGTCTGGAACTAGAGAGGGCAGATCGTTCACATAAGTTAGGAAAAGGAGTGGACCCAGTGTGGACCCCTGTAGAACACCAGACACTACAGGTAAAGGATCGGACAAGGAAGCAGAGACACGGAC